AATGGCTGTTTGTGGGACACTGCTGTGCGCAATTAGATGCTGTGTTTCGCCCACAGAATATACAGTGAATTCACTTTACAGTATATTCTGTGAAACGCTTTGAGACGTCTCAACACCTGATAAGGCACTATATCAAATACAAGGAATATTATTATCTGTAGTGTTTGGAAAGTAATATCTCTACATAGGCTTCCTTGTTAATATGAAAGGAGTACTGGTGAGAAGCTTAGTTTGTGAGATATTGTGCCATATTTCTAGTTCACTGCACTCCGTATTTTCAGTTTACACAACCCATCAGTTTGTGCACGTTAGTTGTTGCTGCCGGTTTCTGCTCGGGGAATTCCACAGCTATAAATTATCCTTGTGCATTCACATGCGCACTGTTTTATTTTAAGCATATGAAGATTGCCAAAACTATTAGCAGATGGAATAGGGGGGGGTGCAAACCAGTATTCCCACTGTACGTCTGACCTTTTCATGCGTATGTATTGACACTGTTAAATCCCCAGCAACTGAGAGATCAATCTCTGGATCACCTTAAACTTTTTTTCCTTTGTGTCCTGAAGGAACAGAATTACAACATAAGCCTTACAATTGCTATGGTGCCTATAACGTTCAAAATATCCCAAAGAGCATCACAGGAAATTGCTGTCAAGTTTTGTGTCTTGTAGAATTTACACATATTTATGCATGTCTCACAAACGGTAAATGATTGATTAAACCGGTGATCATTTTTCACATCAGATAAACTCCCTTCTCTTCTTGATTGTGCCTTTTGATCTTTAAAGTTTATCTGAGCATGCAGGTGGGAACTGGTTTTAACGTGACATCTGTAGGTTGACAAATCTTGTAATTCGGCCCTCCCCCAGCATTGTACTGGAGTGTCAGCCTTAGACTATGAACTCAAAAGGCTTGACTTGGGATTTGAATCCACAAGCCTCCAATGCAGAGGCGAGTATTACCAGCCTTGGTCAAGATGGGTATGGTTTCACAGGTACCGATTGTCCTTACCTCACCTAAGTAGCCATTCATATATTTAACCTTAACCATGGAATAGATGGGAAAAGGATAGCACATCAGTCTAATTCTATACCCAATACTTTCTAAGGGTTTGGTTTCAAGCGAATCCCTTAGATTTCTCACCTTCTTAGCCCAGAGACCTTACACCAATTGCTGCGCTCTCAGTTTTTCCAAGGTCAAGAAACTATTCACAAATGTTTGTACCTACATAATCTTTCCATTCTGTATTATCAGAAAATCTGCGCCTTTATCTGTCGGGCCATTTTAGATGCTTTTCAACCAGTGTATCCGTGTTTAATGTTACTGTTCAACAGGCCTCCTTGCTCAGTACAGCTGGATGCTTAATTTAAAATCTGGAGGCTGTAAAGGAGAATTCAGGGTACATACTAACATGCATTATTAAATGTTTACATTGTGTGCTGGAAATGCTTTTTTGCAGAAGTTACTCCTGGCATCCAGACAAAAAAATCCTCCTTGTTGTACGTAAAATGGTCTTTCTGTTTGCCAACAAAATATACATTACACTTGACAGCGATTCCCTTTGAAGTGCTTTTTTGACATTTTTGACCTTACAGATGTTGCATCAAATTATTATTGTAGATTTTTTTTAAACTTTCTTGAAATGAGTAGTTCCAACCTCCTGAAAGCTGTACTTCAATGTATCATATCCTATTGTATATATGGGCAGAGGATGTGGAGAAAATAACTTCTCAGCTGACATGAACCTCTGGGTCATTGGAAACCACACAAATCATCACATGACAGAGTGTGGTGTGACCAGGAAATATTGCAACTAAGCACTTTGGGCTCTGACGGGCACATCAAAATCAACAGTAATGAAGATGTCATTCACGAATGATCAGGCAAATTAATTTATCTTGCAACCATGGCTGTGTGTGCTGCGATTGAACCTGTATTAAAATTCTACATCCGTGCTTTAAACCATTTTCAGAAGAGGAAGAAATGTTTTACTCCCTCTTTCCCCCCCCCACCCCCCCAACCCTCGCCATTTATAAGTTTACTTTTGTATCTATTTTAGCAACAGTTGCATAACTATTTGTTGTGGTGTATAGTTTGGTTAACTGGCTTGCGTCAATAATGGTTGTAGCTATGTAACATAGGAACCGCATGGTGTCTCAGGAGGATTAGATCACTGTGCTGTTACAGTGTGCTGTAACCCAAGGAGAATTGATTTGAATTGGTACATTTTGTCTCTTAATAGTGGTATTTACGTAGTGAACTAAGTTTTGTCTATTATACATAAGTGTTTTATTCTCCTCCGCATACCCCCCCCCCCCACCCGTTCCCGATGGAGAATACTGTTCAGCCGTGTTACAATACACAATACAAAATTACATTTGTAAAACGCCTTTCACGTTGGGAGGACTGTCCACAAGACGCTGGACAGTCAGGGATTTGGACCCGAGCAGCGGGGAGGCATTGGAATCAGGTAGGAGAGGAGTCAAACGTGAGGTCAAACAGGAGGGTCTTAAGCTGTGAAGGCAAAGCGAAGGGACTGTGGGATGGAGTCCCAAAGGGTGGGGGCAGAGAGGCTAATGGTGGGGCGGCCCGGGCGGGGGATTTGGAGCAAGCAAGTTGATATGGGGTTAGCAGGTCACAGAGGTACAACAACCAGACTCACCGAAACCACAGCAAAATAGACTGAAGGAAACCCAACGCTTAATGGACACAGCATTCGGAGAAACTACATCCCAATAAATGATAATTTTTTTTAAAAAAAAGGCATTTCAAGAACTTCATAATCTGTCAACACATTATGTCAAATGTATCCATCCTTCATGAAAGGTGCTCTATAAAGGCAAGTGGTGGTGGTTGATTTGGAACAGAAGATCCAGCTTATGTCTTTGCGTGGTGGGTATTGAGCTGAATGATTGTGGAGTAGCCCACTTCACAATTGCAGAAAATGGCAGTGTGAGGTGAGATGGGTCTCTCTGCCAATACTAAATGGAACAATGCTACCTTTTTATTTATTTATATATATATGTATACATACATACATACATACACACACACACCACATGAACTAGAAGGTAGCCTACAAAATGCAGTCACTACATTTTACAATTCTGTAAATCTTGCAAAGTTCTATGAGATGTCCTCCTGACTTGAATGGCGGTCGATCAAAAATGCGGATTTATTAGAAGAGTTAGAAAATGAAATACTAGCAAATGTTTGTGTATTAAAATGCAGCTTGAGATGTCAGCCCTGCAATTTTAAATTCTGTTCCTGGTTGTAGTTGTTACAGCAGCTACATACAGCAGGTGGTGTTTCTCCATGTGTTTCTTTTAATCGATATGTTATCTGTGCTGTTAATGGTGGCTGCCCCAGAAAACTAGAATGTGAAATTCAAGCTGAAGGCAATGGGAGTGGCAGAAAGCAGCTGCCAAATGACGAGAAGTGTCAAATACCTTAGTGCTATTTGGAGAAGTCATTGCATTTTTATTTTATTTTGGTAACTTTCGCCAAAGCTTGTACTGTGAGAGCTACTTTTTCTGTTCATTAGTATTAATGAGTGACTGGTAGTGGGAGAGAGGGGAATCCTCTTGACGAACCACCTTAAACTCTCTTGAGGATGTTGCAAAGTAGTCAGTGGAACTCCCTGCGATATAATTAGCTTCGGGCTTCAGATCACTCCTACGTGAAATGATCCTAATTAAACCGAAAGCTGCAGGCGCCCGGCTGCATCATAAAACTAGATAAGTTGATTATCTTCCAGATGAGATGTGAATAAACTGAGATCTGGTCCTTCCTGTTCATAGACAGCAGCACAAAATTGATGTGTTAGGCACAGAAACAAGCCGTTCGGTACATCGGGTCTACACTGCACAGGAGGAGTGGGAGGGTCGAGACTGATGGTGAAAGGAGCTATGCATGGGTCAATGCAAGGACTTCTTTTACCTTGTATCAGTGATTCGGTGATAGAATCCTCGCCTGCCTAATCTACATAAATGACCTGAGTTATTAATACTAAGTGTAAATTTACTAAATTTGTTGGGAGAACCGGAGAGAACGTCGATGGAATGAAAGCATTTCTATCTGCTATGTAAATAGGCGCTGCAATGATTCAGTCGTAAAGAATTGCACGTTGATTGAAAAGCTTCCTATTAGTCTATAATAGGATGAGAGAGTGGATAAAGTCACTGTTGCATTGAGCCACGTGGGTCGGAAGGTTTGCCCTTCATGCTGAGTTAGCTAATCTCAGACAAGGCAAACAGGGAACACTAACTCATAAAAAAATTATAATAATCCTTGTATTTGACATAATGCCTTTCACATAGGGAGGTGTCTCAATTCACAGTAGTGACTGTGCATTGTAAGGTGAATAAATCAGCCGGTTAGCTCAAAGTCCCACAAAGAGCTACGATGACCTAGAGAAACTCGCATCTCTTTTCAAATAGTGTTGTGGGATCTTTAATGTACCTGAACAGGCGGACAGGACTCAGTTTACCGTTTCATCTGAAGGACGGAACCTGAAACAATGCAGCGCTCCCCAGCACTGTATTGAGTGTCAGTCTGGACCAGGGATGGCCGACTTGTGATTTGCATGACTATTCTATGCATGCGTAATGCAGTCTGTGGGCTGCAAATTGTCCGTTCCTGGTCTAGATTGCGAGTTCAATTCTCAAGGTGGAGCTTAAATCCAGACTCGGAGGCAAGAGTGCTGCTCACTGAGTCAGGCTGACGCCAAGTGATTTTGTCATACAACTCCTTTAAAATCAGGAGGACGTCCCAAAACACTTCACATCATTCACTGTGACATAAAAGTGTAGCAACCGTGTGTTTAACTGGGTTCTCAAAAACCTTGGGAGCATTTCAGAATGATTTGGTGAAGAGGGAAAAGTTTTACTGAGCCAAATGGACTAGTCCTTGTGGTTCTTTACCCCCCGGTCCCCCGTCCCCCAACCATGTGAGTGCTTCAATCTATAATCTTGTTCATGTACCTCACATTTTCTGGTGACCGTGAATTTTTGTTTTACAGTTTCATATTTGTATTCCGTTTTCCTGCTGAGATCAGCAAGGTTGCTAAGAGCTGTCAGATGACAAGCACTCACATGACAGCGGTTAAGAAGGTATTGTAGCCAATGTTTGAACAACCTTGCAGGGAGAGTCCTAAAATCCTGCCTACATGTGATGTTGCGATTAGCTATTAACTCGTGACACAGGACAGTGTCCTGCTGCGAACTGATTTAACTAATGAGGTTCACAGCCTCGTTCATTGTGCATTCTCTGTGGTGTGTTTTCGTGGGAGTTTCACACATCCTCCATGGAAACATTTTTCAAAGCCCATCCGATTGAAGGAACGTTATAGTAATGCTATTACTTTATCACTGTTGGTGTCCTGTAACGTTGTGATTAACGTGCTCGCCTCGCAAGCAAGTGGACTCGGGTTCGATTCCCGGTTGGGATAAAACCTTAGACAGTTTCATTATTCCGCATGCTTCTGTTTACCTAGCAATAAGAAGGAACCCAGTTGCTAGTCGATTGGTGGATTGCTCTTCCGGGGCTAGTAATCCCTTTAAAGAGTAATAATTTGGTCACTCAATCCACGATTGTTTCTGGGACACTGCTGTGCGCGATTGGCTGCTGTGTTTCGCTATTGAATACAGTCAATTAATTGTACAGTATATTCTGAAGCACTTTGAGATGTCTCAACAACATCTTAAGGTCCTATAATCAAATGAAATATTATTCCTATAGAAATTAGGAAAATTGCCAAAAAAGCAGCTGTTTTTATAATCAAAGAAAATATTGGGAAGTGTGGGTTTCTGCTTTTTTGTGGAAGTGCACACCATGGTTACCTATACTTTTCTGCGTTCTTTCAGCTTTGGCAAGAAGTTGTTGGAAGTACAGTTGTGTCTTAACAAAACATCGATTGATGGCGTGAAAAAAAGGGCGGAAGTGCGTTCTGTGGAAAGACGAAAGATGGGCAGAATGGAGAATTAATTAATTAAGTGCCATTAGCTGTACTGTGATGTTGCGGCTGCTTGAATTAAGCCTGTTCAAGCATCATGAAGAAAGACAGGGACCAAAAAGACGAACGATTACCTGTGTCAAATAAATATTCTGCAGGCAGGTATGCAGTGGAATAATACATGTCTCACTTCTTTTCTGTGCATGTGGTGTTCTGAGATGAGGAGGGTGCCAGTGAGTCACAAATTTTGGGATAAAAAACACAGCCTAATGCCCATGTTACCATTGCCCTGTGATCACGGTTGGATGCCATCTCAAGAACTTGGTTGTTTGGGGATTTGGGTTACTGGGTTTTGATTAAACCATTTTGAAAAGAGTTGTTCTGATATTCCCCAGGAAGATCCATCATAGCTTACCCATCCTTTCTCTTCCCCTGCCCCCGCTTTTCCCTGCTGAGGGGAGGTGTAAGCCTGGGGGAGGTGTAAGCAGAGTTTTCCTGGGGCCGGATTAGCTCCAGAGAGGTGTCTGGTAAAGCTAAGAAAGTAATTGAAGCATTAGCGCATAACCAACCTGTCTCACTCAGTCCTGAGACTTGTCCTCAGCTCTGTTAGTCAGAATACTAAATGGTAGCAAAATTCTAACTGGAATTAGTGACAATTAGATAAAGCCTGAAATCAGCCTGGGTGGGGTTGAATGAAGAAGAGGCAATAAATGTTTTTTTCCCTAATCCCAGAGAATATTAGGCGCAGATTGGTAAGAGCCAAAGATTTGTACATCCCAGAGTGTGGAATGTAACCATAACTTGTTATCGAAAACACCGTCCAGCAAGCTTCCGCTATTCATTCAGCTAGGACTACCCTGCCCGTTTGAGCTTTGGCTTCCAGGATTTACATGAGCCACGTGGGAAGAATCCCTGCTGCGTGTCTGGTTCTTGAAATCCTACTGTTCAGCCACGCGGTGACTCGTCTGTCATCAGTGATGACTTGGAGAACTACAGATCTGCCTAGCTGAGGAAATGAACCATTGAGACTGATACAGGGGTATGCAATTTATTTTGCGGTCTGAAAAGTGGAACCGAAAGCTATTGGGGAGTTTGTGGGCTATTGTGCTATGGTGTGTAGTATATGTAATACTAATGGCAAGATTGTTGAATGATCAAGCAAGTACTTTCTTCATGTAGAAGTCTGTTGCCAGGTGGTGGGGAGGGGGAGTTAATAGTGTAAGATTGTGTCCTCTCCGTTCATCCCTTTCCAGCCATTTCTCTGAATATATTTTGAAAAGGAAATGGGAATATGATGGATAGCTCCAAAGTCCACTGCAGGTATGATGCACCAAAGACCACCTATGCTCAGATTTCTGTGATTCCCTCTGGATCTTCTTGAGGCCCCACCACTGGTGCGTAGATCAGCTCCACTGGTTCCCTGTCAAAAGATTCTCGTACTTGCCTTCAAATGCCTCCATGGGCTTGCTCTAACTCATCTCTGTGATCTCCTGCGACCCTACACCCCCAGCCACTCCCTCCACTCTGCTGTCTCTGGCTTCCTGCATGTCCCACCTGCTTTGCCCCACCACCCCATTCCACCAATCATGGGTTAACATTGAGCCACCTTGTCCCTTTCCACTGGAGTTCTCTCCCTAGTGCGCTCCCCACCCCCCCTTAAAATGTTTAGAGATGTTGATAATAATAATAATTCTTGCATTTGATGTTGCGCCTTATCACATCGTCAAAGCATCTAAATGCTCAATGAATTTTACTGTGAAATGTAGTGACTGTATTTGTAGGAAGGTTCTTTTGAACTGAAAGGCGCAATATTTATTGTAGATAAGTACAGTTATTGTAGATAAGTTTGGGAAAGTTGCTCCCAGGTTATCCAGTGCTATCCTGAAATCTGTTCTCACACGAGATAAGAAGAGATTCAACCCTATTGTTTTCCCTTCGCTCTGCATGAGAAAGAACGTGACCCTTATTAGTTTGCCATTTGCCTGCAGAGCGGCAAGCTGAGAAAAGGAGTTTAGCATGTGCAGTGTTGAGATCAAACCTCAGGGACAGTGAGGGGGAGCATTGCACTCACTGTGAAATAATCTGTTGACATGTAACAAACATCTGCGCCACCAAGTTGTGAGTTGGTGTGATGTGACACACAGTGAAGAGATTTGCTTCTGATTATCCAGGGTCAGACAATACAAATTTACATTTTGTATCTGACCTTTCACATCCCAAGGCCCTTAACATCCTGACTTGGCACTCGAGCTGGTGTGGGAGCCAAGGGAGGTAGGGAGAGGAAAGATGAGCGAAAGCACAGAGATGAGTCTTGATGAATCTTGAAAGAGGTGAGGGAAGGAGCGAGTTGAAGGGACTTTGGGACAAGTTCCAGAGTCGGCCAGATAAGCTGAAAGCCTGACAGTCGACGGTGGAGGCAGGTAGGGTGGGCGACATGAAGCAAAGGGAGCGGCTGGTTCAGTTCGATTGTTAAATCCATTATTTCTAATCTTCGCAAACATTGTCTCATTACATTACATTTATATTCCAAGTATGGTAAAGGTATGATTGAGATGAGGAGGAAAGTGAATTTGTATCTTAAACCAAGAAGCTGCTAAACTTTGAACTGATGTGAATAAGCTTATTCTGCTTTTTTTTCTTAAGCCTACTCTTCCCACCCCCACCCCCCCAGGCAGGGCATTTTTTCATAAAATTCAGGATGCTTCAGATCCAGTGAATTTGGCACATGGGACTGAATGCATTTGTCGATGCTGGCTGGGTGTGCTGTCGTCAGCAGTGCCTTGGAATATTGCAGACCCGCCTGACTCAGGATCTGGACTAGCGAGACCACCAGAGAGGGCTGGCTCGATTCCCACATTCTGTTGCCAGACATATCACCTTGGATCTAGTTCAGCTCCAAGGAAACCCCACTTACCCAACTGCAATTCCAATGCTTCCAATGCTTGCTGGTAACTGCGCAATGACAGTGTAGATTCTTGTTTAAATTGGATTTCTTACAATTTATATGGTTTGTTTGCAACTCAGACTTTGCATAAGTCATATTAAATCTTATGGACCCGATTATTACTAATAATAATAACTGATGCGACTCGTGAGCTTTACTGTATAAATGTAAATTGTTGTTGAGTACAGAGTGGAAGGGGGAAGGAGGGGAAGAGAACAGGGGATCAGATTGAGAGGGCACTCCGGGTGTGGAGGGGAGATAATAATTTGGATGATAATATCAGCACCAAGTGAACAAAGGACACCAGCGATTTGATTTGATGTTTTTTATAAGCCAGTTGAGCCCAGTGGAATTGGGTGAATCCAGGGTGTAAAGGATGCGCAGAGGAAATCATCTGTTGGTAATTTCCATCAGCAAAATTATCGCAGGGTCTTATCGATAATACTGGTTAAAGTTAAGATACTGAGCCATAATCATGACTAACTTTCCCTCACGTCCCCCACAAAGCCTCTTAAGGAAACCAGGCATTTCCTGAAGAGAGCAATATTAGCAGATTGGCTTTGTGGGGTGGGGGTGGAATTCACAATTCAAAGTTGAGGCTTTTCAGCAGATTTTATTCCATACATTACATTGTTTCCTTCATCCTTTTTTAGCCTTCCTGTTACTTTACATGCCTTGGAGTTGTGCAAACATTGGGAGAATCAAACTCTGTGTAACCCTTTTCCTGGTGTTACACACGGCAGGTGGGTAATATTGGAACAAGTTAACTGCTGCCTGCAGGAGGGAAGTGGCATTTCCTAAGAGTCGAATGAGTAGCTATGAAAGGAGCAATCAACCGGAATAGCTGGGGAATTGAGCCAGCGTTTTTGGCATCCAAGGAAACCCTGATATCCATCTTCCCCAAACCGATTGTGGTTTGTTTTTGTCTTTTTATATAAAACAAATTTGGTGCCAATGCACTTTCACAAAATCTGTTCCGATACATTTCAGGCCTGTGTAAAGTAATTCAAAACACACAAGCAGCTGGTTTGCGTAGATTTTTTTTTATTTATTGTAGATGATTAGATTAGAATGTTTTCTTTAGGGTCAAGGCATGGGGTTAGTGAGTTGTGTTGTTGATGTGTGCCTTTTCATCCACCCCCCCCCCCTCTCCCTCCTGTTGCCCCCCTCCCAACAAAATAAAATATCAACCCTGACTACCATGTTGGCCCTTGTGTTATTTTATTGCCAAATGACTGGCGTTTAAGATGGTTGGTTCAGAATGACCAAAAGCTGTGCTTGGGATTTGGTGAATAAGTCAATAAGCTAAAGTTCGAAGATGCTGCATCCTCATGACACTGGTTAAGAAAGAAAATGCAAGCTGCGTTTTCTGTGGCTGTAGCTTGCAATGACTTTGGCCGCTGTTTAGCAACAAAATCCCTAAGATTAGAAAGTGATCATGTATTGTAGCTGCTTTGTGCCCCGCAGTGGCAAATCCCAGGGGGATCAGTGGCACTTCATTCCTGTTGGTACCATAGCCGGGTAGTGGGAGTACTGTGCTGGACAGTGCTGAGTGGAGGTGTGCCTATCAGCAGGAGCTTTGCAGAGGAAGTCATCTGACAGTCTTGTGCTTTGGCATCGATGAGGAGCTGAAATAGTCACTGCAATGCATTCAAGGACGGGTTTCCTGTGATTAACTCTCTAGATGCAGGAAGATGCAGCATAGAGAATACAGGTAAAGTACTGGCGAAAGGCTTGAGAGAGAGCCTGCTTGGGAGGTGTTTGTTGTCACGGGTGAGCTATTACAGCTTGCATTGATCAGTTGAATTGGTGACTGCATTGATCAGTTGAATGGTGAGACTGTTTCAGCTCTGGTGAAGAGTCACGCCCTGCAACATTAACCCATCTCTCCCTTTCAGATGCTGTTAGACCCACTGTGCATGTCCAGATTTTTCTTCTGCCTTATTTTTATTTCCTCCAGCAGGTTAAACTCTCGTTCCGCCACTTTGCTTTTGTTTCGACATAAGTAACTTTGGTTTTGTCAGTGAAGTCTGAAAGGACTTTAATTACCCATTGCTGCTGTCTATCAGATCTGTAGTTTATATTTGGTGAACCCATTAATAAGATATGCTTAATACGTTGCTTATGTAAGTAATGCATGATTTTGATCTTTACAACTGAGACGAATTAGAAAACTATGTAAAATGACTCCATAGTAGAACCTGGAACAGCACAAGTGGTTGACTTGACTTCTATGACAGCTCAATTAATGCACTTCCACCTGGTGATGATCTGGTTTGCTATTGCAGTTACCCCCTTGTGGAGTTCGTGTGCGACACTCGCTCACTGAGTAGAACGAGGTTGGCAATGATGTGGAATTGGAGTGGTGACCGTGTAAATATAACCAGACGATAGGGGAATAATTAACAGTTGTAACTTAGTAAATCCCTTGATGTTTTAGCATTTCCAATGTTTTTTTAGTAACTGGCTTCAGAGCGACCGAGTGGCACACTGCTGCTGGCAGTCATCAAATAGGCTGTTGTTTGTTTCGGGGAGGGAATGGGTGAAGGAGGAACTTTTTATTTTGTAAGATGCTGTTTTCCGCAGCTGAACTACACCCAAATTCAAGTTCAATCCCAACTCTTTTGTGGGGGTAGCTTAACATTGGCTACAGGAGCCCTGTAGCCTGGTGTCTGTCCTGCAATGGGGTTGAGATTTGTGGAATTGGGATATATCTGAAGCCCTCATCACCAGTCAGTAATTTACACTGCTAATAAGGACTCACGTGTCGACAATTGGATGGGAACTGGGTCAGACTCGGATTTTATGTATCGCATGGTGTATTGACCGTCACTGTTCAGATATAACACGGGAACACTGAGGGATATGCATAATGCTGAAATACGGTGCGCCGACTGTCCAGCTTTGTGCGTAAGGCATGCAGGTGATGTGAGTGGTGACCCTAATGACTCTGGAAGTGCTGGCGAGTTGTCGCATCACAAACTGCTCTGTTAGAACGCGAGGTCTCATTTCATGGACCCCTCCCACCAACACCACAAACCTCTGTGTTATAGCAAGATCAGACTGTACTTTCGGCTGGTGGGAATGTCCTGCAACCCTCATGGTGCAAACTGAATTGCCCATTCTTATTTTGATTTTCAGGTATATCTAACGATTACATATTTATTTGAATTCTCTTAGAAAACTGTATGCTTTCCTGTCTTGAACATCATGTTTGCATCTCCTCGCTCCTGTGTGTGTGGGGGGGGGTGTAGAATTTAAGGATTAAATATATGTCATGTCACTGGTGAGGTACCCTGGTCTAGACTTACTCTATTGCCCGTAGCATTTCAGAGCATACGAAATTTGTCAAATTCTTAAATCATCTTTCATTTCGAGAAAATAAAATGTTCAAAATATTTCTGAGAGCCAGCAGATCGGTGGATAATATTGAACCAAGTTGTTACCAGGAAGGATGGTTGAGACTCATTTATATTTTAACAAAAGGTATGATAATCTAACAATAGGGTGGGGGAGATCAAATGGGCCAAAGAGCATTCTTCATCCAAACGTTTCTTGTGATCTTGTAATCTCTCCTACATTTCCCTGATTAGTCAATAAAGCCACCACCAGTTGTGAAACAGTCATGTATATATTGAAGGCTCCAAATACAGATGTCTGACCTGTACAGTTTTTATGTCTTGACTCGCACCCAAGTCTGAGGACAACTGGAGTACTTTTGGAAGAAGAGGGAAGAAAAATTGGAGCGGGAGCGGTGAATTTTACAAAATCTTTTTTTGCCCCACTCTTTGTACAGCTGATGTGCAAAGTCACCAGTGGAACATGATTTTTGTTCTCTAACCCTCTGTTTTTGTCGTGTTGCAGCTGGTCACCTGCGGAGTTTGAAATAAGCCAGATTCGATTGATTATTTACCAGGATTGTGAGAGGAGGGGCCGACATGTATTGTTTGATTCTAAAGCGGTTCGTAAGGTCAACGAGACCACTGTACAGGTAATTACTGCAGTCCGAGCATGTTCGATGTATGCCATGTATATTTTTTTTGCAAGAGACAGAAAGCTTCCTGTTTAAAATGACATGGTTATTACTCACCCATCCTAAATAAACGTGTAACCAAAATGACTCTTAAAATTAATTTCAAGATTCCTCAGCATCCAGATGATCTTAACTATGTCCATGATGGAAGTTAAGGAATTAATTGTGAGAAAAATCCCTTTGTGATTTTCTAGAACCATTTATTCTATGTCCAGCACAGAGTGTACAATACCTTTGATCAGTTATTGAGATTTACCATGACTGTTTTTGTCCGCTGGTTTCCGAAACCTAAAATACATGATGTATCTTAAAACTCTTAAAACTTATTTTCTTCCTATGGGGGGCAACAATCGCCCAGATAAAAATTGGTCATTGCCTTCATGATTGTTTCTGGGACTTTGTTGTGTGCAAATTTGTTGCTGCGTTTACCTACAACACATAGTCACCACACTTCGCAGTAAATACACAGTGAAATGTCCCACCAATATAGTGCTATATCAAATGTAAGCATTATTAAACTGGCAGCTGCATTCATCTACAAATTCAAGTCAATTACTTTACAGTAAATTCTGAAGTGCTATGAAGTTTTTTTGAGATGGTAATTGGTGTGAGCGGTAATTGGTGACAATAACAGTAGTGTTTTCTGTGTTGGGCATTGTACTTTATTGGTGCACAAATATGTGATTTCAGATTCAATTTATTCTTCCCCTTATTTTTCTATCTGTATGAAAGAGAGAAAAAAATCCAAATTAGTCACATGTTTATTTTAACCCAGAGCAGAATATCTCATGATCTATCCAGTGGTCAGCTGCCAGACAAGATAACTGGGTCAATCACAAGGTTTCTCTGTGTGTTTGACTGCATTTGACTTGCAGGTGACTCAATAGGCATGAGTTAGGAGAGGTGAAAGTGAGCTGAAAGGTGGGGGGGGTGGAGAGATCACTGAAATACAGGGTATTAGGGTATGATGTGGGATTTATAGGGTAGGATGAAGAGTTTGAAGTCAATTTGTTGGAGATGCAGCCTGATGAGTAATTGGGGTGATGGGCGCGTGGAGTTAGTACGGCTGAGGTTGGCAGAGTTTTATATCGGGTGGAGCTTGTTGTTTGGTGGAACTTGGGAGATCAGCGAGGAGTGAGGTTGGGAAGCAACAAAGGAGTGAATGAGTTCTCAACCGCATTTGGTGCGAGATGATGGTGCAGGCAACGACTAAGAAAAACGGTCTTGGTCAGCGACCGAATAAAGAAGGAGAGCTGAGGATGGCCGAGGTTGCACACTGGCTCAGTGAGTTTGAGAGGGAGGTCGAGGAGGTCAATCAGAAATATGGAGATGTTGGCGGGTGGTGACAATTTGGAAAAAAACGAGGGGAGAAGAAACACGGGCAAGGAAACAAATTAGTTTAGTTTGATGAAATGAGTGGGTTATTTATACTGTCACCAAGGCTGGGCATAATCCCCACGTCCTTGTTATAAGCAGGTAATGCACTGTTAGCTGGGAACCTGCAGTACAGATGTGGGGCACTGCAGTAAGCCATCAAACCTTCAATTACCAATATGTGTAGCCAACAAAACTATGAATATTGGGGTGGGGCTGCAGAGTTTCAGGATGAGGCCTGATATGTCGCTGGTTGTTTGATGCCTTCTACTGCGAAGCTTTGCTTCGCGGCTATTTTTGGAGCATTGCTGTGCGGAAATTGGCTGCCGCCTTCACTTCCAAAATGCCAGTCACTTCACTCTACAGTACATCTTGTGAAACGTTTTGAAATGCTCTCCCGACAGGAAAGGCGCTATACCAGTTGTAAGTATTATTATGGTGGGCTAGGAGTGAAAGAAAACATAATTAAGGTCCATTAATCTGCTGCGTATGCAAAGAACATTGCTTGTCCTGTACTGCATCTGGTAAGTAGTGAAGTAGTATTAATGTGGAGCAACACTGAAAGCAAACATAGAGCAACTTCAGATATTAACCTCCATTCCCATTACTTGGCTTGCAAACTGTTCACCTACAGAATACTCAGTCATTATACTTTATAGTAAATCCGTGTGAAGTGCTTTGTAGCCCACAAATTATTGACATTTCTGACGGGAAAGGAGTTATATCAAATGCAAAGCTTATTCAAAAAACTGATGGTAGGACCTGCGTGAGCAATATTTTCATATGCTGATATTCCGCAGGCATGCACGGAAGTTATGCCAACAAAAGCTATAGCGAGAAAGATATCTTTGGGTACAAATTCTGTTCAGCGATATGTGCAGCAACGTTGGTGATATGGGCCACCAATAGGATTTCCCATTCTATTCGCACCTCACCAAAAGCAACACTGATCAGAAGTTTTACTTACTGCTGGGATGGAGGGAACTGTCCCTCTCATCCTTAGTGCCTTCTGTTGGAGGTGCTCTTCATACCATTTACCCTCACTGCCCAAACCAGCTATTAAAGCAGGGGACCTTTGGTTATGTGGTTTTAAGGTTCAATTGTAACTTAAATCATTGGGAGAGCAATACCGCAAGAGCTGTGAGACACCATTGTGAAGTGCAAGAACAGAATGTTACCGAAATGGCTTTTTGGTTGACAGTATTGAATGAGGCGTGTGACTTAACATTTATTAGGATCTTCTGATGTTTCGGATCATTTGAGAGCTCCATAAATGACTAGTGCACCCTGTTTGGATACAGTCAACTTTGCAGGGTGGCTGATTTCGAGATGCAAATGATAGCCCATGCTCTCCAAAGATCAAAAGAGAAGAATCTTCTTCTGCTCACTTTAACTCTTCAAGTTCTCGGGTCCATGAGACAATAATAAATAATAATAATAACCAAGGTTTTTCCTTGTATTTGTAACTGGCGTTGTTCATTCACCTACAAAATACATTACTCTCTACGGTATATTCAGTGAAGTGTTTTGAGGTTTCCTCTGATGTGAAAGGCGGTATACCAAATGTAAGTTATAATAATAATCTTTGATTTGATATAGCGCCTTATCATGCCGATGAGACATCTCAAGTGCTTCACAGAATATACTGGAAAGTGAATTGACTATATTTTGCAAGGGAGACGTGGCAGCTTATTGCACACTAAAGTAGGTAAGTATCATTATTGAGGACAATATTTGATTAGTTGGCGTGCTGGGAGTTTTATAAATATTTTTAAAAATTCCAATAAATTGAACATTATATGATGAACATGTTTGATGCTCATTCAGCATTTCAGCTGATATAATATTTCTTTCAGGAATGTTGTTGCATTATTCTCTAAGGAATAGAGGTTTATGTAAAACCTGAAATTTTTTAGTCCTCTGTGTTTTTTATTGCAGCGTACCTGCTAGTTTAAGTAACTTGGGTGTATTCCTTTTGTGTAAGAACAAGTCTTCTTTTCCTTTTCTCTCTTCTCAGTTTCTATGCCAAATATCATAAAGTGTACAACAGAGTCATTGTCACTGAACAGATGACACATAATTGCTCGGCAACACTAAATAGGTTGAGAGCGAATTGGTGAAACTCAGCTCACTTCTTTTCTTAACATAGAAAAACACAGATGATCTGTCAAAACCATACGGGAGGTACGGACACCTGGGGGCCTCTGGTCCCTGCAGCGGCACATCCTCACAGAATTCCTCTTCTGCTGGAGTTTCTAAAACAAAGGAGCAGATGCCCAGGTATCAGGTGGGTGGAATGAATCTGTGCATCAGGTATATATATGTATTGCATACACATCTGACCCTGCAGCTCAGAGATTCAGGTGGGAGTTGTTCATTGTCGGGTGGAGTCACTGCAGCAAATACCTTGAGGAGGTTTCTCCAAACGGAGTATTGGGGTAAGCTGTAACTTTTGTGTTGAAGGCTATGAAGGTGACTTTAATTTACAGCTTAAAGATTCATGAGAATATTAAGCTTGGGCTTCATTGATGAGTTCAATTGGAGTTAATGGAATAATATTTAAATTTGCAGATGCTACTAAATTACTACGTCTTGTCTAGAGCTGCGTGGAATTAACCTTAAGACCATTAATTCGGTGTAGAATTGTGGAATATCCTAAATTCAGTCTTAAATCAAAATGGACCTTGGGTGAAGATCATGAAGAGCTTCATGCCAGTAATCTGATCTGGAACCTTTCTCGTCTGCGCCTTGACTAGTCTCGTCAACCGTGCCTGTGGTCACCCTCCTACCCCTACCTTCCCCACCCTCCAGACGTCCTCCTGACATGAAAGGCACTATATAAATGTTTGTTGTTGTTGTTGTCTGCATCGCTCAGCCACTCCCTGTCTGGCTAAACTTGTTGGACCATTGGAAAGTAAGGGACCTCTAGTTGTACCCTTACAGGTTCCACCAGCACCAAACAAATGTTATATTGTTATGACTGGGAGGCATTCTCTGCTTCACTGGTTAACTGCACAAATGACATATAGTATTGCTTATGTGGTGCTCGTATATTGCAGTATTCTCGGCCTGCTTCTGATGTCAACATGCTGGGAGAAATGATGTTCGGCTCCGTGGCAATGAGTTACAAAGGCTCCACGCTGAAAATTCATTACATACGGTAAATGAAAGTCGGGTTGTTTAGTTTCTATTAAAAGAACTGTGCATTCTTCATCTCTTTTTAAAAAAAAGAAAAGCACCTTGATATTAAATTAATTGCTCGTAATTCATATAACTTTTATTGAATTCTCTTCTCTCTCACACCTTCAAGCACCTGTGGTGCTCACGCCCCAAACTTCTGATTTAGAGGCGAGAGTGAGGTTAAGTGAACCAGGCTTTTGCCAGTCTATGGTGTTGAAGTGACTGATGTGTGTTGTCTTTTTGTTTTCTTTTAGATCTCCCCCTCAGCTGATGATCAGTAAGGTTTTCTCTGCTAAAATGGGCAGTGCTGGTGGAAGCTCTAACACGTAAGGTTCTGCTGCTTCTTACCCTTCTTTCAAACAAACAATCACAAGGCTGATTTTGCACAACATATGAGTGTGGTGAAATGGAAACTCGATTATCTGCCTCTTATCCCCTTTTCTCTTTCACTACCCCCGCACCCCCTAAAATGTTGGATGATCAAGTCCCAGTGTAAAGCAAAAGCCATATTTTGTGTATATATAAAGAAAACTGCACAAGCAAATTCAATTTAATCTCCACACTTTCAGGATCCTTCCCTGAATATGTTTTTTTTGTTGAGATTTTGTGCATTAAGAAAATCTTGATAATGTAACTCCCAGAGCCTTTCACTTTTACATCACCTCAAACACCATTAAATCTGCATTCCCTTCACATGCATTATTCATAAATGCATCTCAAAAGCCTTCAGGTGAATAATTTCAAAATTGATGGAAAGCACTTTGCTGAAAAAAAATGGCAGATTTTGGAAATACAGTGTAGCCTCTCATCTTTAGCCTATTCAATCAGTGCTGCTCTCTGCATGCAATTAAATAGTCTCTTAACCTCCTATGATGTACAGATTTTAACCCAGTTAGCCGTTTTAATACCCATCATCGCATGGTTATTAATGATTCCTACGTAACTTGAGTATGTGCTTAGGGTTATGGTAAAAATCAGCTAGTGTAAATTTCATTGGATAAGCAGGATGGCAGCACTGTACTTGAAGAGGTAGAGAAGATCAGTGGAGTCCTGTAGCTCAATGGTTGGAGCACTTGCTTCGTTGCGAGAGACCCAAGGTTAGATTCCCAACAGGACGAAACATTTGGCAAGTTTCCTTACTCCACATGCCGATGTTTAGTGTTTAGGATCCTACTAGCAGTAAGTATGGTTTGTTAGTCGATTGGCGGATCGCTTTTCCAAGGGTAATAATTCCTTTAAAATAAATATAAATAATTTGGTCACTTCATTCCACGACTGTTTGTGGGGCGCTGCTGTGCGCAATTGGCTGCCGCATTTCGCCCACAAATTATACAGTCAATTCACTTTACAGTATATTCTGTGAAGCGCTTTGAGACATCTCGAAGATGTGATAAGGCGCTATATCAAATGCAAGGATTATTATTATCAATTAATGGTACAGCACAGAGACCCGACCGGAGAAACTTCCAGGTCTGTCTGGTTTGGTTTCGAGGCTGTCTTGGGTCCCAAGATATTTTGTAACTCCATCCCACAGTCCCTTTCCTCCTTCAAGCCCTGCCTCAAAACCCTCCTCTTTGATTGTGTCTTCGGTCAACCTCCCAACCCTGCCCTCCACCCCTCCTGATCCCAGCCCCAGTTCGGGTTCCAAATCCTTGTACAATGTTATTTATTATTGTTGTTGGCGTCCTCACCTAGCTTGGTCATTGTTTGAATTGCTGTTCGCAGGCTGCAAGACAGTTTCGAATACATCAACCAGGAAAACACCAGCGGGAAGCCCTGCCCCAGTCAGAACGGCAGTCACTGTCGTGCGGACAGCAACCTGGGTAAGGGTCGTTTCAGGCACAATTTAATTTAATACCTCCTGGAAATTTCTCCTTGTTTTTCTTTTGTGTTGACGTTATTCACATGTTCACTTTTTTTTACTTTTTTTTTTAAACCTTCCATTTTCACCAGGTTTTGGTCGCTTGCAGCTTTGCGGCAGCAAGTTGCTGCTGTGCACTGCTGGAGCAGGGCAGCTACAGCTGGTGCGAAGTGCTTCTTTCTTTGCAGGTTTGTGTGGAATGCCGGGCACGGTGTGCACCACACAAGCACGTTCTGACGCACAGAAATATAGGGCTGAACATCACCAGCGCTGCAACACCATCCATCCCGTTGAGGTTTTTTTTTTAATCATATTAAGGAATCCTCTAGCTTAGTGATTAGAGCTCTCGCCTCGCAAACGAGAGGACCCAGGTTCGATTCAGTAGTAATTAGGAACCTGGTTGTTTGTCGATTGGCAGATCGCTAACTGGGGGTAATAATCCCTTCAAAACAAAATTTAATCACTCAATCCACAACTGCTTGTGGGAGAGTGCTGTCCACAATTGGCTGCCACGTTTCGCTCACAAAATATACAGTCAATTCACTTTACTGTATATTCTGTGAAGCGCTTTAGACGTCTCAACGCAGTGATAAGGCGCTATAATCAAATGTAAGTATATATTGTAAATCAATTTGCTGTTGTTAGTGAGTTGCGTTTCCAAGTGGGGAGTGCAGTATCTTTACTGTTCCTGCACGAGCAATGGGATATTTTTGCATTTGTGATAACGCTGTGAACGGTTAACAAGGTAGAATATTAATCTTCATCGATCAGTGCGAGTTCAGCCCTTATATTTCCAGTGTGATCATTGATTGAGTTGATTGATTTTTTTCTCTGGCATGTGCTTTTCACAGTTTTTACCCTGAATTACATTTGCCTCACGTGTTGCATAATCCGGAAGCTTGACGGCTGTTGGCGTTGATTATTGTGTTAACACGCAGGTTGTGTTATGTTCCTCAGTGTGTCTGTAGCGGATGGCAAGAAAATTACCAGATTCCTCAATTCTGGTCACTAGGTGGCAGCTTCAATACAAAGTGTATCAGTTCTGCTGCCTTTACACAAGCTCCACTCTCTGTGTGTGCGTCAGTGTGTGTCTGTCTGTGTGTGTCACTAGTAATGAGCTGGATGGAAATCTGACCTACAGCACAAAAATAATAAATGAGGAATCGTGGGATTTATTCCATTTTTGCTGACCAGGATGTGTGCGTGACTTCAGTTATGAGTGAATAGGTTACTTCACTCAATACAGCTTGAATCACGTGCTTCTTCATGTACCCTGCTGCAGTTGTAACATTGCAAGAGACCCAACAGTTTTTTTTAAAATTACAGTGAACTCCTGATAATAAAACACTGGCTTATATAATCACATGACTAATATTGTCATGTTCAATATTCCGGCTGCTTCCTGTGCAAAATGTGAATAAGAGGCACCCACCCCCACTTATTTCATCACTTATAAGGTATAAAGTCGTAAGTAAAATATCAGGTATTATCATCGAAGCAAAGTTATCTGTACCGTAAGGAAATGTCACTGAGCCACTCAGCCAGTCACACCACACGCAAGGGACCCAATGCCAAGTCTCATGAAGAGGGGCTCAGCATGGGAAAATTAAAGTGAAGAAACTGGAGAATTGTAATTGTAAACCAGAATTAATTTCTAGCTTCATAAAATGTGTCATAGAAGGAAGTGACAGAAAATCTAAATCGGTGACAAACCGAGAGTGACGAATATCGTCTTTCCTGGACTGACAATATGTTGGGATTTTATTGTACGTACAATTTTCTTTTAAGATACCCACCCCCATCCCCACCACGTGAAATCTTAAAAGAAATGTGATTAGGATTTCACCTCCATTGAAAATTGAGGCAACTTTTTTTTCTCACTGATCCCCTGTCCAGAAACTGTTGTATTAAAAGCTTAAATACTGAAGGAAGCCTTTGACCTTCTCCTTCCTTCCTTCCTTCCTTGAATATATTCATATCTCAAATGAGTTGCAAAACTCTGTTCAGGATGTTGCTATTATTTGCTTTTTTTTAACATTACTGCATCTTGGTTCGCTTTACGAACTGCTAACTTATCAACCGAGTGGAATAACCGTTTTTTATCTGCTTGGTTTCAGAGTAGAGATTGTGTTCAGAGTTGCAACGTAGGCAGTCATTGCTAAGCTGAGGTAAACGTGCTAACACAAACTGTATTGCTCACAGCTCACAGTACACCTGTTGATATGCCAAGCAGAGGCCAAAATGAAGACCGAGACAGTGGTATAGCCCGATCTGGTGAGACTTGTTCAAATACTTTCTAATCTATTTATTGGAGTTTTATGTTAGTCATGCAGTAGAGTTTATAACGTGGCATTGCAGACATTTTGGAAGCGAAGCTGCAATTGTTTTAAATGTAGTGTTCCTCTCTTTCTAAAATATTGCAATACAATTTACACTTTATATAGCAATGTTTATGTTGAGAGGACGTGTTAAAGCAGTTTACACAGCTGGCTGGGCACCCAATTCGGGGGGGTGGTGATGAGGTTCGGTAGGGAGGAGGGTGTCTGATGACCAGCCTTGATGTAGGCTTTGAAAATAGTGTCTTTATTGTTTCCTCGCAGCCTCCCTAAGCAGTCTGTTAGCTACACCGTTCCCATCTCCGAATTCCTTCTCATCTTCCAGCTGTGCCAGCAGCTTCCAGCGTCGCTGGTTGCGTAGCCAGACCACTAGTTTGGAACACGGCATTTTTCCCAGGTGGTAAGTCCTGATTTTTATATTTCAATTTCAGCGATTGTATCCCTCCTGAGGTTGTTATTGTGCCATTTCAACTTCTGCTGCGCTTTCTTCTTGAAGTTGAGTCTCAAATGAAATCTGACTGTAGGAGAGAATTTATTCCACACCAGATTTAATCCGATTGAGAACGTGTTGACTGTTCAAGCACTTTGTACTTCTTGAGCATATACACAAGCACAAAACTATCCACAGTTGGCAGTCTCGCTCAGAGCGGTTGCAATGTGGTTGGTAGGGAACTTGCAGCACAACTTTGGTGTATTAGTGGTACTGTGCTGAGGCAGAATAGAGACAGCTTTACTCTTCATCTGACTTACGCTATACCTGAATTCTACTAATTCTAACCCTAAAGTGCCCCAAGTGCGGAGAGTTTTCTACACCTCCCCCACCCCCTCCCTCTCAAAACAGTCCTCGTCATTATGTTGAATTGGAGAATGAATCCACATTTCTGGTCTCTAATTTTCACACTAAAAACATTGCCTAGCTTTGCCAAACTTCGCCACTTTTGAGGGGCGTTCCTTCAGTCATGTGCACGAACATCCTACAAACCATTGCGTGCAGTGCTTTTTAAGTGTAATTAACTCGTCTGAATCTGGCTGAGACAAGGGCTCATATAATGCACCCACCTTACCTCTGGCTCCAACTTCATCAACGTCTCCGGTTGCTCACTCCAGCTAACTAACTAACCCAAATATATAACATCCACCAGACAGCCTCATCCACCTGCCTCTTGTCACCCACTACTACCCCCTCTCTGTCCCCCTCACCCTCCTCATCATCAGCTCCGACCACGACCCCCATCCTACATTCCTTCCTCCCATCTCTCCTTCCTCTCTCTCACCCGCCATCACTTCAATGAAACCCACCACCTGCTGCCTCGACCCCTTCCCAACCAACTTGGTGGTTACCAGCTCTCCCTCCTCTGCCCACTACTGGCTGACATCATCAACCAGTCCCTCTCCTCCGGATCAGTCCCTGCCCCCCTCAAAACTGCTGTCATCACCCCCCTCCTCAAAAAACCTTCCCTGGATCCCTCAAACTCTAACCACTACTGTCCTATTTCTAACCTGCCCTTCCTCGCCAAAGTCCTAGAACGCGTTGTTGCCAATCAACTCAGCGCACACCTCCTCCCACTCCCTCTTCGAACCCCTCCAGTCCTGTTTCCGCGCTGCCCACAGTACAGAGACTGCGCTTGTGAAAGTTTCAAATGACATCCTCTCTATCTGTGACCAGGGCTCCCTCTGCCTCCTTATCCTCCTGGACCTCTCCGCCGCTTTCGACACAGTCGATCACACCATCCTCCTCTCCTGCCTTTCCTCCATCATCCACCTCAGTAGGACTGCACTCGCCTGGTTCAAGTCCTAACTCATGAACAGCTTTTCCTACTGCTCTCACAACATTGTCCCCCTCCTTTTCCTAATCGATATGCTCCCTCTTGGGGATGTCACCCGCAGACATCCAGGTCATCCAAAACTCTGTCACCCGCATTCGCAACCGCACCAAACTCCGCTCCCCAATTACCCCAGTCCTTGCCAGACTACACTGGCTGCCTATCCCAGAGAGGATCGACTTCAAGGTCCTCATCCTTGTCTTCAAATCCCTTCACTCCTCTGCACATCCCTACCTCTCTCCTCACAACAGTACCCGTTGCCTTCGCTCCACCAGGTCTGGCCTCCTCCTCGTCCCCCAAGTCCTCCGCTCCACCCTCTGTGGCCGTGCCTTCAGCCACTATACCCCGAGGCACTGGAACTCCCTTCCTCACTGCCTTCGCCTCACCCCCTCTCTTCCTATTTTCAGGTCTCTGCTGAAGACCTTTCTTTTTGACTGCGCCTTTAGTCACCTCCCTTCCCCTCGGCCCCGGGATCCGTTATTGTGAAGCGCTCTGAGACGCCGTCTGGCGTGCAGGGCGCTATATAAATCCAAGTTGTTGTTGTAACTGATCGTCCCTCACCCCCACCATCCCTCTATTGGTGGCCAAGCTCTCAGCCACTATCCCTGATCTCCGCAATTCTCACCCAACATCCCAATACTACGGATTCCAGTCGTCTGCAAATTGAGTCCAGCCAATTTAACGTGAATGGTAATGGTCGGCAGGATTACTGACCAGCAAAGGATTAATATGCACTACCACCAAAGTCAAAGAATTTACTATCTCTTTTTTTCTCTCTCTCTCTTTCCAATCTCCTCACCACCCCACCAACCTTCTCCCTCCCCGCATCGATGGTGCTTCATGTTTTGCTGATGACTTGGTTGATTTGATGTTGTTCTTTTTATTTAAAAAAAAATACATTCCCTTGTTACAAAGGTCAGCTGAAGAGACGTTCAGCATGGCAGATGAGAACTACACTTCCAATCCTCAGATGGTCCGAAGGAAGAAGATTGCCATCAGTGTGGTTTTCTCTTTGCCTGAGAAGGACGAGGAGAACAGGAATTTTCAGGAATTCTTTTTCTCACACTTCCCTCTCTTTGAGACTCACCTGAACAAGCTGAAGAGCTCAATTGAGAAGGTATCTAATATTTTTAGATTTTTTAAACCATTGTTTCTGTCAAAGAATATTTTCTTTTTGCTCAGTACCCAAACTTTTATTGCGCATCAAAACATAAGGTGTATATTTCTAAAGAAATTAGGTTTATGAAGTTTTAGTTTTTATACCAATGATGAGTAAAGCTAATTGTACTGAATACACACCATCCCTTTTCTGGTGGTCCAATCTATCCCACCCTGCGTTATCCCACCCTTCCTTGCCCCCCATGTCACCTAAGATCAGATGTAGTCCAGGCTGATTGTCATTCTTTCTTAAAGCAAACATGTTGGTAGTCTCAGTTCAGTTGTGGTTCGTCGTTGATGTACATCACAAAATTGGATTAAATGGTTAATCTTGCTCAGAGAGATCATTGCAAATAGCTAGGAATTAATTTTACACAGGTGAGAGTATAGGGGTTCCTCCTTCTGAGATGCATTGTTGAGGTTAGAGGGAACTTTACGATGCATATGGCTCGTGGCTAAACTTGATGTAAGAGAGAGTTTTTAATTGCCTGATAACAACCATAACTTTCATCTGAAACTTTTACCAGCTCCTACTCCCCCTCTCCTAGCCCCACCAAAAAAACGAGTATCAATATTCGGTGTAATTTCTGTCTTTTCCATAGGCAATGATAACCTGCAGGAAGATTGCAGAATCTAGTCAGAGGGTCCAAGTTTACATCAACCGTGTAATGGAAGCACTGGGAGAATTCAGGTGAGTTTTAAATGTGGCACGTTTTCTCTACCACTTGACAGAAGATTTGTTTCTCATGCCCTAAATTAAGAATCTGCCATTTAGCAAATATTGTAATCTTATACTGTGCTATTTCAATTGTAGCTGCTGTTCAATGGGAGGGAAAAAAATATTTTGCAAAGGCATTTCTGCCCTGTGTTTTGGGAGGATTTGACCCCATGTTTTGGGAGGGTTTCTGCCCTGGGTTTAAGTTGGTCTTTCCTGCAATACAAAATTACAAAATACAATGGTGAATAACCTTGTGGAGAGGGGCAACTGCCTATCAATACCACAGTGGTTGACCAGTTTCCCTCCTATGAGATTATGTCTGGATTGCACTTGTCGCTTTTGTTCCTTAATGGTATGAATCCTTAAAAAAACGGTATAAATAGTAATAATTATAAACAATTGTTGCATTCGATATAGCAATTTTCATGTCAGGAAGATGTCTCCCAGCGCTTCACAGGATTCACCACTGACTGTGTAAATATCTGCATGAGAACATTAATAATAGGTGTTTTTCTCCCCTTGGCTTTCACCTGCAGACTTTCAGTGATCTCCAGACTTATCGTTGCTCCATATGCTGAAAGATTATTTCAGGACTTAATGCCATTAGCTTTGAGTATTAATGGTGCTTGCATTTAATATAGTGCTTATAAAACACATCATAAGAATTCCTGTTAAGTGCACACTAGACAGTTTGCAGAAACTCTCAATGCACAAACAGCTACGAAAAAGCTGAATTGGGCCTTGAATCCACAAGCCTTTAACCCAAAGGTGAGAGTGCTACCAAATGAGCCAGGCTGACACATTGAGGGATAAAAATAAGCTCTGATCAAATAGATTGTGTGTACATGACTTTGCAAGAGATTTGGAGGTTGTCTGTGTCTTAGTTGCAAAGCAACAACTTGCATTTGTACAGTAACTAATCATTGGTGGGAGCAAGGTGTCACATGTGACACTGAGTTTTATACCACAAAAAGTAGGGTTTTTACAAATCCTCCTTGGAATGTTTTTTATTTCTCCCCACACTCATTCACCCCACCCCGTCTTAACTGCCCTCTGGCTTCATCTTAAGTCCACGACCATGTCTGATATGTTGTACACGGGGTGGCAAAGAGGCCAGTATGTACATCAACAACAACTTGCACTTATATAACGCCCTCCACACAGGATAGCGGCTCAGAGTGCTTAACAGCGGCAGAGCCTGCCTCCGAGTCAAGGGGAGGAGGGAGGTGGCCATAAGCATGGTCGAACAGGAAAGTTTTCCGGTGGGACTTGAAAGAGGGGATGAGGTGGAGCGATTGAGGGAGTGTTCCACAGTTTTGGGGCGTAGTGGCTGAAAGCAAGACCTCCAATGGTGGGGCGGAAGGTGCAAGGGACGAACAGGAGGCCGATGCCAGTCGAACGGAGGCTGCGGGTGGTGGATTGGGGAGCGAGGAGGTCGGAAAGGTAGGGAGGTGTCAGGGAGTGGATGGATTTGAAAATGAGAGAGGATATTGTGGGAGAGGAAGGACAGTTGGGGGTTGTCCTGGATGCCTAGGTTGCGCACTGGTTCGGTGAGTTTGAGGGAGAGCCCTGGGAGGTTGAGGAGTTAAGATCCGCAGGAGTGAAGACGTTGATGGGAGCCAAGAAGCATGGCTTCCGTCTTGTCCATATTCAGCTGCAGGACGTTTACACTCATCCAGGCCTTGATATCTGCCAGACAAGCTGATAGAACATCAGCGGACCTGGAGTTGGTACTGGAGGAGGCAAAGTAGATTTGTGTATCATCCGCATACATGTGGAAGTTTACTCCGTGTCTGTGGATGACATCGCCCAGAGGGAGCATATAGATAAGGAAATGAAGAGGGCCAAGGATGGAGCCCTGGGGTACCCCGCAGGTGACCGGCTGGGGGAGGGAGGAGAAACCATTTGCTGAGATGAAATGGAGGTGGTTGGTTAAGTAGGATATAACCATGTGAGTGCAGTCCCAATGAGGTAGATAAGGGAGGACAGACAATGGCGGAGGATGGTGTGGTCGACTGTGTCAAACGCAGCAGAGAGATCCAGGAGGACGAGGAGGCTGAGGGAGCCCTGGTCACAGATAGAGAGAATGTCATTTGTGACTTTGACAAGCCCTGTCTCTGTGCCATGGGCAGGGCGAAAACCAGACTGCAGGGGCTCGAGGAAAGACAGGTGTGACCAAAGTTGACCTACAATAATGTGTTCCAGTACTTTGGCAGAGAAGGGTAGGTTGGAGATGGGATGGTAGTGTGCGAGATTAGAGGGATTGAGGGTGGGTTTTTTGAGGAGGGGTGTGATGACAGTCGTTTTCAGGGCGAATGGAACAGAGCCTGAGAAGAGACTGGTTGACCATGTCGGCCACTGGGGGGGAGAGAAGGGTGAGTTGAATGATTAGCAGCTGAGTTGGGAGGGGTTCAAGGCAGCAGGTAGTGAATTTCACTGGGTGAGTATGGTCAAAATGGAGGAGGGAAAAATGGGAGCAAAGAAGTGTAAGGAGTGGGGAGTGACAGGAGCCGTGTGGTTTGGGTGGATTGGAAGGGGACATGGGGGATTGGGGGGGAAACGATGCAGCCAAACAGATGTTTTCAATTTTTGAGGCAAAGAAGTTTAGGACCTTGATGTTTGATGTGAGGATAGAGGGGGCTTGATGGGGTGCAAGGAGGAGGTGATGGACAGTGAAAAACAGTGTCTTTGGATTGTTTTTGGCCTCCAGGATGACTTTGGAGTAAAAGTCAGTTTTGGCCTTTGAAAGGGAGAGGCGGGAGGTGTAGAGGTGCTTGAATGCAGATGGCTGTGAATCGTGAGACCGGATTTCTACCATCTGCGGGAGAGTGGGTGGGTTTAGAAACAACCCTGGATTTCAGGGAACCAGGAAATTAAAGGTTGTGAGGAGATGGTCATTCAACAGCTTGACAGCTGCATCAGGATTGCTGCGGGTGGAGGACCAGAGGGAGAGGAAGTGAGGGACTCGGAAGCTTTTTCTAGGGGCGGAAAAAAATGCTGGAGGGTTTGGCAGAGGGGAGAGGGATGTGGGAGGAGAGGGAGATGAGGAAGAGGTCCAAGATGGCCTTGTCCGTAATGGACAGGTCGGAAATGTCAAGGCCATGTGATGACGAGGTCGAGGGAGTGACCACGGTTGTGGGTTGGCGAGTCGATATGGAGGATGAGGTTTAGGGAGGAGAGGAGGTCAGCGAAATCTGGGGAGGTGTTGCAAGGGGAGTTTAAGTGGAGGTTGAAATCACCCATTATGAGCAGGTGTTCAGTGCAGAGGGACAGGGATAAGAGGAGAGAGGAGATATCGGTGAGGAAGGAGCCAAGAGGTTTTTTTGGGGAAAATAACTAGGAGAATTTTCAGGGAGAGAGAGGATGGATGGTAGAGGGTGAGGTGCTCAAAGGAGAGAAACAACCAGAGGAATAAGGGGATAGACCAAGGGAAGTTTGCGAGATGAGGGCTACCCCACCGCCACGTTGGTTGGGGCGGCGGTCTGATGAAAGCTGTAGCCAGGAGGGGAGGCTTCAACAAGGGGGACGGGGTCACTGGGAGAGAGCCATGTTTCTGTAAGCCGTACAGCCGATATTTGATCAGAGGGAGACACCTAATACCTTGAGAATCAGGATTGTGTAAAGGTCATGTCAGCATATGAAGGCACTTAACCCGGTGACATTTTTTTGTAATTAATTGGAAGCTAAAAAAAGGATGGTGACATTAGATCCCTGTTTGCTTGAGGCTTTTTTTTAAGTTTCTAAGCTTTTCCGATAGTTATCTGGAAACTCTACGCACAGCTGCCTATCCAACGTCTTCGGTTATTCACGCGTGCTTCAGAGAATATTTACCCTGCAGTATTTGATGGGGTCAAACGAACTGGGTAATCTGAGTCTTGCAATGTCAGGGACAGTCCAGTAGCCTTCTTTCCCGTAAGCATTTCAGATGCTATTTTAGATACTGAAAGCCCAGTTATAAATTCAGGCACCAGGTCAAATGGAAGTAGACAACAACATGTGGCAGACAACAGCCTGTAATTCAACCTGAACAGCAGCCTAGAGTTATACAGCTCTATTGCTCTTTATTTCCTCTCGCACTCTTTTCCTATACAGTTCAGTCTATTTCCATATACATTGTGGTTTCAGTTGCATTGACCTATACTTCACTGATTTCCTGTGCGCAGCATGTGATGTCAGCGGTCTCTCCGGCAATCCTACAGGGGTGGTGGGGGAGGGGGCGAATAGCCAGTCCATAATACTCAATGTTTTAAACACAGGGTCTCGTTTTAATAAGAAGAATCTTTGCATTTTGATATAACACCTCATCAGTCGTGGATTGAGTGACCAAAATACTATATTATGTTTTCTGAGGGATTATTACCCTTGGAAAACAACAGCAAATTGAATGTTTCATGTTGGGAGGATCACTCAAGGCGCTGAACAGTCAGGGATTTGGAGCAGGAGGTTGGGATCAGGAATGGTGGAGAGCAGGGATGGTAGGTGTAGGAGGGTGGCGCGGTCGAAGAGGAGGGTCTTGAGACATGCCTTGAAGTGGCGGAGTGAGCAAGGCAAAGGGACTGGGATGGAGTTCAAAAGGGTGGGGGCAGAGAGGCTGAAGACCCAACCACTGATGCTGGGACAGGCTGGAATCTGCTGAGCGGAGGGTGTGGACAGGTCAATATGGGGTGAGCAGCTCACAGAGGTTGGAAGGAACAAGGCCATGGAGGATTTTGAAGACGAACAAGGATGGAGCCTGGTGTGGGAAAGGACACGAGCTGCAGAGTTATGGATTATCTTCAGCTTGTGGAGGGAAGAGTTGGGAAGGTTTACAAGCAGAGGGTTGGCGTAGTCAAGCCTAGATGAAATAAATGCATGGATGAGAGTCTCGGCGACCTGAGGAGAGAGACAGTGGCGGAACCGGGCAATGTTAGGAGAAGACAGAACGGGTCATGGAACGGATGTGGGGTAGAAAGGACATTTGAGGGTCAAACAAGATGCCTAGATTCCAGGTTTGCTCACTGAGGTGGAGTGCCAATCCATAGATGGTGATCCTGCCAATGCCTGAGGTGATGGGAGCCAATTAAGAGGGTCTCGGTATTCTTGACGATCAACTGTAGAAAGATAGCTATCAATCAAAGACTTCATGTCTGACAGACATTCTGTCAGGACAGCAGTGGTCCTGGAGTCGAGGGTGGAGGCAGAGAGGTACAGTTGGGTGTCTTCTGCATACGTGTGGAAGTTGACCCCATGTCTGCGGATGATGTCTCTCAAGAGGGAGCATTTAAATATTGAAGAGGAGGAGACCAAGGACGGAGCCCTGAGGACCACCGCACGAGACGGTGCAAGGGCTAAAGGAGACAAAGTGGAGACGGTGTGATCCCACCTTTTGCCAATCAACTTAACACCCAGGTTCCTACTTACTGCTAAATAAACAGAGGCTTATGGAGTAAGGAAACTTGTATAACGTTTCATCCTGCATGGGAATGGAACCCAGGTCCTCTCGCTTGCGAGGCGAGTGCTCTAACCAATACATTACAGGACCTCAACCAGGCTGAACTATACAGTTCCTTGTTCAAATCGTTCCGTATAGAACCGCATGGTGTGCTTATATACAAAACTGTAATTTGTTGCTTTGCAGGACAACTATCTGGAATCTTTACACTGGGCCAAGGGTCCCAGAGCCTGTGTGGCTCACCATGATGTTCAACGCTTCGGAAAAAAGTCGTCTGTGTTGTCGCTTTCTGCAAGAACTTACCACCTCAATAGAGCAGATGTCCAGGAATCAGTACGTATCTCTGCTACAGAATGTGGCAGTGAACTCCTGAGGCAGGTTTCTACTGGGGACTGGAAATAATCCCACCATGTCACTGGGGGCGGGTGGGGGGAAGAGTTACGAGGGCAGGTGTTTGTAGCTAAGATGTACATTTCCTACAGGTACTCTGCAGCTAACAGCTGCACCTCGAACATCATTTTTGTTGAAGGTGAAATATAAGTTTCTCGAGACTGTAGTGAAGCTGAATTGCATTGAAACTTGGCTTATCTGCTGCACTTGATTTTCTCCAAGTCAGCAACTGTTATGCACACCTGAGGGGGAGTCAGTGAATGTGGTGAGGTGGGGGTTGTATCCCTGGATCAGCCGGTCCTGGTCCTGTCTTGAGCTCTCAGCCTACTGAACCCCATGTGGAGCACACCTTTGATGTTTCTTTGATTCTGCTGAGCTCCTTGTCATTCACAACCAATAATGTTTTTTCTGTAAGAATACATCAACACAGTTGTGGGAGAGCCTGCAGCAACTATAAAAGAATAGTTTATATATTTTTTTCTCAATTTTTCCCCCTCTTGTGGTGCTAACGTTTACTGGAGCACGGTTCCCTTTGACCAATTATAGTCTAGACTGATACTCTAATGCAGTGTTAAGGATATACTGGGTTGTTAAACTGAGTTCCTGTCTGCCTGTACCAGCGGACATTGAAGATTCCCTGGCACTATTCGAAACATGAAATGAGTTTTGTCCTGTGTCCTGGCCAACAAACCCCCTGATTAAATTGGTCATTCACTTCATAGCTGTTTGTGGGACTTTGCTGGGTGCAAATTGGCTGCCTCATTCGCCAACAAATCCAGTCAATCAATACGCTTTACAGTAAAATCTTGTCCTCTCGATATGAAAGGTGGTTATATCAGATCATTATTTACTTTATTCAGACAGTTTATTTATGGTTGTTCTCTGTCCTGCCCTTGTTTCAGATTCCTTCCAGCGTTGCTGACTGCTGTGCTCACCTATCACTTGGCCTGGGTTCCCACCGTGATGCCAAATGATCACCCGCCCGTCAGGACCTTTTACGAGAAGCAAGCCTCACAGAGTGTAGACCTGCTGGGGAAATCACACCCCTACAATCCTCTCTGGGCTCAGCTCGGTAAGCAAAACTCATTTGGTTGCTCTCCGTGTCAGTCCGGATTTTGGATCAGAAACCAGCCTATTTCTTTCCCTTCCCTGGCCCTGGGGTAATGAGGCTTGTTGTACTGTCCCTACTCGACCCTAGTAAGATCAGATAACTCAACGCATGAATTTAAAAAAAACGGTGACCTTCTGGCTTTGTGTGACCCAGATTCACACTGTACAGTGACTCAGATGTTTGTGGTTAATGGTGGTGATGGGGGAAGAGACTGAATCACTGAGAAAAACGTAATGCTTATTTCACAGCTATTAATTCTCCAGTTTCCAGTGTGACTATTATTCATCCGTAAAATTAAATTCCCCAGTCCCAGAACTAAATACTGTACCTTTCCCCTGACATAGCCCAGCCTTGCTTGTAGCGCTAAGCAGAAGCTCATTGCACTGGCTTCTGTTGCTGACCGCGCTAGAAAATTGGTGACTTGCCGAGTCAGCAGATCATTTCCTGTACGTTGTGCATGCCCACTACGAATGGGGAAGACCATTAACATAACCGAACACTTTACAGTAAATCCTGTGAAACGCTTTTGGACGTCCTCACATTGTGAAAGGCGCTGTACCAAATGTAAGGATTCTTATTACAGTAAAACTCGCAAAAGCTTATCTTTATAAATTATATAAAGCCTAAGTCATACATCTATTCAAGTCCCATTTAGTTTCCTATATTACATTTTTTTTTGCACTAATGATATTAAGCATCTCCTAACTCGTAATGTCGCTCCCCTGACCTCCATTACACCTGCACTTACTGGCTGCATTGATGTCCTATCTTGTAGACGCATGCACATTTGCCCACCAGCTGCATTGAATTGCTGTCTTGTAACATTGGAATATTTAATTGTTAATTAAATTGTGGAGTCATATAGTTTAGCGAGAGTACCTGGCTGTGATTCCCGGGCAGGGCCAAACATTGGGTAAGTTTCCTTACTCCACATGTCTCTGTTTACCTAGCAGTAAATAGGGTCTCCAGTTAAGTTGAATGGCAGATCATTTTTCTGGGTGTAATAATTCCTTAAAACAAATATTTTCTCACTCAATCCATGACTGTGGGACATTGCTGTGCACAATTGGCTGCCATGTTTCACCCACAAAATATAGTCAATTCACTTTACGGTATATTCCGTGAAGCGCTTTGAAACGTCTCGAAGACGTGATAAGACGCTATATCAAATGCAAGGAGTATTATTATTACCACTTTAATGGCTGCATTGAATTACGCATGTGCAATGTAGATTATTGATTAAATTGGATTTTGTGCGAATTGTACAAGTTTGCCTGCAACTCGTACTTTGCATAAGTCATATTAAATGTTATGGTCCCAACTGATATGACTTATGTGAGTTTTACTGTATTATTACAGTGCAAAGCTAGTGACGTCAGCGGTGTTTTGTTTTTAAGTGCAGTGGCACATGCGGAGCGCACAGGAAGTGACCTGGCGACATGAAAGTCAGCCATTTCTTCTCACTTTGGTTATGATGCCACTTGGAAGATGTTGGATCCAGAGAAGCAAGGCACCCTGTAATATCTTCAGTCTCAATTTTGTTACGTGTGCAGTTTTAGTTTCAAGATAACCGATATCAAGGTTCTCGTGGACAGATGACCATTATAAACCGCGGGGATTTACTGGCATTAAATATTCTCTTTTCTCCAAAAATGTAATTTGCGCAAATCAAGGAAATGTTGCCTTAACAGGTTGATTTTTTTGGTCTTCATTTTCAAGCATTGCACAGTATAAATACTGCCATCTTGTGGCTGATCCACGAAGTGCAAAGAATTTCCAGAAGGAGGTCATTCTACCCATGTATCTGTGCCGGTGTTGCCCGGCGCCACTTGATACTATATATTTAAGATCAATTCAGTGGTGGTGCAGCTGGTCATAGGCACCAGAATGTAATCTGCCCCATGGTCAGATTTCCCGGTTCTGATTTTCCCCTCATCACCACCATTGCCCCCCAGCTCAAGGTACATCTAGGCAGACAGTCTTGAGCTCAGCTAATGCTCCCCACGTGGGACTAGTGGGCCTCAAACATGAGTAATGGTAAGTTATTGAAATAATGGTGAGAGCTGGTTTGAGGATATTGCCTTTGTTTACTTTTACCACCTCGTCTTCCCTCATCCATAATATATTGGCACCAATACACTAACTAAGTTAAAGTCAAAACACTGATTTGAGTGTGCAGACATCGTATAACATTCAGACCACTGGGCCATTGCATTTGAGAATCTTTCCTCTTAAGTTGAGTCTATGTTAATGCCAGTCGTCAGAGGAGAGAAGCCAGCTGAGGTGTGAACAAGTACCTTTTCTGTTTCATACATGCCCCAGTGTTCTTAGGCAGTAGGTAAATATTCTCTCGAAAGAGGGTCCTGGCCCACAATTCTCCCGAATAGAATTGGTCACTGACTTCTTGATTGGTTGTGGGATATTGCTGTGTACAAATTGGCTGCCCGATCACAACCAAAAGTCAAAATACTTCACAGTAAAATCCTGTGAAGTGCTTTGAGACATTTCGACGATGTGATAAGGAACTATAACAAATGCAAGGATTAATATAAATGCGAGTTTAATTTCCAAAATGCAGAATACCTTCTGTTGCCTAACATTAAACCCGGCATTGAATCTTAAATGGGTATTTTTTTCTTTGTTCAAGGTGACGTGTATGGTGCGATTGGCTCTCCTGTTAGACTGAGCCGAACTGTGGTGGTGGGTAAACGTAAGGAACTGGTTCAGCGTCTGTTGTATGTTCTCACCTACTTCATACGGTGTTCAGATCTCCAAGAAAACCATCTGGAATCCAATGAAATGCCACAGGACAGCCAGACCGAGCTTGCGGGAAACACAATCACCACAGCTCTGGAGAGGGGAGAAGTAGAAGAATCTGACTACGTGGTTGTTAGTCTTCACAAGGACGAACCCGCTCCCGTATCTCCAACCCAATCCCTGACAAGCTCCGTCAAAACAAATGGCTGCACTGGGACAGTCACAGCGACAGACAATCGTGCACAAGTAGCCTTCAAACCTCTGAAAGCTGTTCAGCCAAAGGCCGAGGCTGATAACTGCAGGAGACAGCCTTCTGTTCAGTGCAGTGAAGCTTCACCGCTTGTGAGTGACATGGAGGATGAGGACGTCAACACGTGCAAAGAAGCAGTGCAGCTGGGTCAGGAAGCCAGAAAGGAGGTGTTGACTGTCGTGAAAGGAGCTTCACTGTGCACCGCAGAGAGAAGGATGCTTTTTGCACCCGAAACAGTCGTCAGTCTAAGTGAACAATTGCCTGATTTGAGTGACTCTGCACTGGCTACAGCAGCAGAGGTGGCAAGTAGCCCTCCACTAAAGAACTCTCCCACTTCTGGTCTCAGTTGTCCAGCCAGGCTTGCCCGGAGCAGCCCGCAGCTCCAGCAGAGAGTCTTGTTTCAGATTGGGTGCTCGCTATCACCAGATTCGGACATTGAAGCGAGAAGGAAAGATGTTGAAGAGAAAGTGAAGAACTTCAGAGAACAGCGAAGAGGAGAACAAGACAACACTAACTGTCAACTGCAGGAAACTGGTGACATCTTGGACAGGGACAAAGCCGCCCAGCCTGCTGAGGACCGACTGGGGACAAACAGAGCGGTACAAAGGCTGCGGCCAAGTCCAAGGCTGAGCTTCGATCAAATTCCTTCTTATGAAGGAAGCACAAGCATTTTTGATGAATGTTTCACTGAGGGCAACACCACTAAAACGTACACTGCAGGCAACCTCTCTCGGCACAACAGGATCGTGAAGGAAACCATCAAACCTTGCAAATCCTCGGACGGGGAGAGAGATGTTCAAAGTGTTGAAACAAACAGGACTTTGTGCGGCAGCGACGCCCAGGCAACCCTTCGGGAGTCCATTATTTCTCATTCTGGAAATCAGGGCAGGAGATCAGGTGATGTCCCCCGCAGGGAAGCTGAAGATTCTGAGAAGAAAGTTGCCTTCAGGATAGAAGTGGACATTCCCAGGAACGTGAGTTCTGACAGTGCCCTCGGCGACAGTGACGATGAGGATGCAGCCCACGAACGACCTACGCAGAAGCCAGGCTGCTATGGTGAGCGGTGGGAAGGCCACATGGAAGAGTTGGAGCTCCCACTACCAAGGTAAGAATGTTAAATGAGTATTCCTAAATGTCTGTTTTTTGTCCTTTCATTAGAGGACATAGTCACCAGAAGCACAAAAAGAGAGTTTAGGAGATTTATTTTCAGAGAGACGTGTTAGCATGTGGAATGAATTGCCAAGTTAGATAATAAGAGGCAGAGTCCATTGTGGGTTTGTAAAGGGAAGCAGGTGGATATATGAAAGTTAGAGGCAAGAAGGGATCTGAGATCGGATGGGGCAGTGGGATTGAAAGAACAGCTCTGAGGGCCAGTGCAGAATCCAGGGCCTGAGTGGCTTCCTTCTGGAATTCTCGTCGTGGGTGACGACTGGAGGAGAAGCCTGGCTGACTGATGTGATAGTGAGTCATGTGGAGACGAGGTTTGATCCTCGTCAGTTGGTGCTGAATTATCTGATCTCAGCTGCAGTTGGCCTCTGTGTCTCCAGGCTGTGGACTTCAAAAAAAAAACATCAGCCAGGATCCTTGGTCAGGATCCAACATCTCTGATGGAAAGTGTGTGTTTGGGGGAGAAGGGTCTTGTCGTCCCCAGGACATGTCATCTCTGCAATGTCGTCGACATAAAAGGCGCTGGATAGATGTAAATTGCTGTTTCAGAACCCACCCCACTCCCTCCTCATTATATGTTTGAAACTGCTGCTCACCCCAACGCTCGCTGACTAAACTCGCTGGGAATTTAACTCTAAGCTTTTTTTTAAAAAAGGAACATTTCCTTCACAGAGCTTTGCCATAAACACAGAAGGTTCAGCCTGTAGTGTGAGTTCAAAAATCCTTTGTGCAGGGTTCATTAAATAGGAATAATATCGGAGTGATGTTATTGTTGATCGTGATTTTATTTTTCTGGGATTGACTTGCAGCATCAAAATGAATAGCAGACCAAGTCTCAATAACTTTGGAAGATCGCTGCTTGGAGGATACTGTTCTCAATATGTGCCAGACTTTGCCTTGCAAGGAATCAGCTCTGATGAAAAGCTGAAGCAGTGTCTCATGGCAGATTTGGCTCATGCTGTGCAGGTGAGTTGTTGAGGGCTGTGGGCTGAGGTTGTGCGCGTGTGTGTGATCGCTGTTAAATCGTCTGCTACATTATTGTAGGCTTCAGATTGTTTGTTGTTAGCAGTTACTAAGTGCCATGATAAACTAGCACAGGCTGCAATAAACCTTAATCTACAGGGCTTTTTTTGTGTGCAGTGTTGGGGGAGAGCTGCATTATCAGAAATGCTGCCATTTGGGTGAGACATTAAACCAAAGTCCTGTCTGTGCCCGTTTATGTGGATATAATAAGGATATTATGGGACTATCCGGTGTCCAGGTGTGCAAACAGGTTTTTATGGGTGTCTGTGAGACAATGTTGTGCGAAATTGACTGCCGAGTTTGCCTATAAAATACACTGTCAGTACACTACACAGTAAATTCTTTGAAGCGCTTTGAGACGTCTCCACGACTTGATTGCACTGTGTCAAATGTCCTTCTCTTTCAGCATCCTGTGTTAGATGAGCCCATTGCAGAATCTGTGTGCATTATTGCAGACACGGATAAGTGGTCAGTCCAAGTGGCTACGAGCCAGAGGAAGGTGATGGACAGCAATAAGCTAGGCAAAGAGGTGCTGGTCTCTAACTTGGTGTCCAGCTTGCTCCAATCCATTCTTCAACTGTACAAACTGCAGCTGCCACCTGATTATGTAAGTACACACATTGCTTCGGATGGTAAAGATTTTAAACTATTCTATACGTTCCTCTGAGAGGATCAGTGGAACTTAATACTGTGTCAGTGACCCGAGGGCTACTGGAGAAATGATTGCAGTGAATCCATGAGGTGTATATTTTCCGCAAAGTCGTCACTGCTCTAAACTGATTGTTATTGATTGAGGAGCAATAGCTGACTATAAATCAAAAAATGTTGAGCTTTCAGGAATGATTTGATTGCAAACTCAAATGCAAAAAGATGTGCAATCTTGCAACACTTGACTGGCAGTGATTGATTCAGTGCAAATGAAATATCCTCGCTGTTTGTATATCCTCAACACGTTCAGTGTTTCAAAATCAGCCTGACACCAATTTTCTTTCTTTATAGATTGTGCTTATTTGCCTATTGCTTGTTATGTTCGTCGTGCATCCTGTGCTTTTGAGATTTGTTTTTGAACTGTTCTAGTCGAGCCTCTAAAAAGTATGCTTGAAAACCTAATTTTTAAAAACAAAAGTCATTTTACTTGTTAAAACCTCGAGGCAATCCTTTGTTTGCACTTGGGAAAGTTCTGTAACACAGACATTTTGCTTTGGAAAGTCTGTGCTTAAATAAAGTACTTTTGGTGACATCTCTGCAGCAGAAGCATCTCCTCATCTGCAGTTTTAATAATAATAATAATCAATGGATTTGATAGAGCGCCTTAGTACGTCGTTGAGAAGTCTCAAGGCATTTCACAGAATATACTGTAAAGTGAGTTGACTATATTTTGTGGGTGAAACATGGCAGCTAATTGCGCACAGCAATGTCCCACAAACAGTCGTGGATTGAGTGACTAAATGTACTTTTCCAACTGCAGTGTGTAATGCACCTGGAGGACAGACTTCAGGAGCTGTATTTCAAGAGCAAGATGCTGTCGGAATATCTGAAGGGCCACACGAGAGTGCATGTAAAGGAACTGGGCGTGGTGCTGGGGTAAATCAAAACTTTTATACAACTCGGAGTGGCCTACTGGCTTACCATTCATTAAATTAGACTTCAGACGAGAATCTCAAAATGACCTTTTTTAAAAAGACAGTTTGATTTTTGCACCAAAAAAACACACGATTCAAGCAATCACGTTGTTGGGTTAAGAAAACCTGGAGAAGGATATTAGTGTGTAAATCAAGCGTTGTAGAAATTGTACCAATGGAAATAATTTCTTTTTTCCTGTTATTTGATTTCACATATCTCTTACTCCTTTGTAGTTTTTTGGGGGAGTTGTGGAGGAAGGGTCTGTCTCTAGCTAATTTGTTTTTACACACACACACACAAACTCTTTGTTTGGATGAGACGGTACATCATTTTATGCTGGTAAAACGTAGAGAGTTGTCATTTAAGCATATGTCTCACAAAAAATGCAGTGCTCCTCACTTGTAGGTGCTGAGCTCATTGTAGGAATGCTTTTGTATTTCTAATGATGGTTTTCTTTGGTTTCACAGTGTAACTTACTCAGAACTTTACAGTTTACAGAAATTGAACTTCTCTCTTTCAGGATTGAATCTAATGACTTACCTCTGCTGGCTGCTGCAGCAAGTACTCATTCTCCATATGTTGCACAAATACTTTTATAAGCTAAAACCTCGGAACAGCCACCTTCTCAAAAGGAGCAAAACAATTGCAGAGAGTTTGGAATGGTATTGAGGTGGAAGACTTGTGTGTTTACACTTAAGGCATCAACAATGCAACTCTTACATAGGAGCAGCACAGTGCCCGTTTGGTATGTTTCTCTGTGATGGCGAGCCCATAAACTTGCAGACATTTTGTGACAGTGTCTGGGGTGCATGTCCCTCAGCCGAAACAGGAAATCCTGCTATTAGTTCTTTCCAGATTTTTTTTTAATGTCACTGAGCAAAGACTGGTGACCTCTTCAAACACTACAAATGGTTGCAACTAAAGCATGCGTTTCATACAAAGTTAAGTTTCCAGTACAGCCCAGGCTGGCACGCCATGTGGAATGCTCGCTTCTGTGATGTGATTGACTTTGGAGTTATTTCTGCAATTGCCTTAACTGGTGAATGATGAAGTATTCTAAATATTGTTTGTAGCATTCCTGCTCAGAAGAGTTTGAAATTCATCTACTGACTTTTGCAGGTCCGAATCGCAATGCAGTTTTGCAATTCAGTTTCAAAACACTTCTATTGAGGTTGGCGGAGGGGACACAGCAAAAAAATATTCACAAGCTCTAACAGTCTATCAGTTTACCGTGTAAGTGGTTTGACATGAGTTTTTTTGTAAACATAGCATAGTCACCTTCAAAAGGACATGAAAGGCATAACTACAAAAGGTTTAAGGGACGCCTTTTAAATGGACTTTGTTTACAGTGCGTTTTGTGCTTGTTGCAAATCAATACTGTTCTGTGAATTGAGAGCATGTAAAATTTTGAGGTGCAACTTTTGCCACTGCAACTTTTGCTTTTAAGGGTCAGGGTATAAAATTGTAATCGGCAGAAGCTCATTTTAATTATGCAGCAAATTCCCAGATGGATAACGTGGAAGAGAAGATCAGATGTTGAATGGAAGAAGAAATTTTGTGTACGTGTGTGTGTTTATGCCTGCAATTTTCGTGTGTAAATGTATTGTTAGACACCGATTTCTGCTGGCGAGAGCAGTGTTTAGGTCAACCTGTTACAAAGCAAGTCGGTGAGATTGTTGCGCCTTTTTAAGAACAACTGGGAGAATATTACATTGAAAGCTCCAGATACTTCAGGCAGCGATTTAGCCCAGTGGATGGTGCTAGAACCTCGTCCAATGAGTGCAAGTTTAGTGAGCGAGTGCAGTGAGTTTACAGTCTGTGTGTGTACTCCTAACCAACGAGCCCCATTGTGAAATAATATACCACACCCTAATCAATGTGGTTTATTACCTTAATCTTAGAAGGAAGATGACCTGCTTTCGTGTTTTTTTTTCTCCAAAGGTTTAATTTCTAATGTACAGAAGCACTACAAACAATCTTTATTTTTATTATTTAAAATTAAGTAACCAGCCCAATTTCACCCACTTACAAACTTTATACCTGTTGCATAGAGATCATAGAATGTCCCATTTTTCTCTCCTTGGCAACATTGGCCAAAGGAGAAGGCACTTGGCTGCACAAATGGACATTCCCTTCTAAGAGACGATCAGTGAAAAATTCTTCATACAGTGCCTTTGTGCTCTGACCGCCTCTATTGCTGCACATCAACAACGTTGCCACGTACACAGTCAGAGCTACATGCAACTTTTTTGTCCCTTGTTTCTGTACAATACTATTGTTGTTTCAAGAAAGCGTAACTTTTTTTTCTTAAATACAAGTGCTTCTTGATTGTTTATAAATATATCTCAAAACTTTGAGCAAAGTTCCCAATTGGCCTATTTTGATACATTTTAAGCCCTGGAGGAATTTTTAAATATCATTATTGTTTACGTAAACAAACTAACCTTGTGAAAGTAGCGAGAGCGTTTATTCTTAAGAGAAACCCTCCTTTAATTGCTAGTTGTGTAACTTTGTAAAACAATGTAACATTTAACCACAGGATATACAGTCACTTCACTTAAGTGCTTTGTGATGTCCTGAAGATGTGATAAGGCTCCATATCAAATGCAAGGATTGTTATTATATTTTTTATAAATTGAGCCTTCGGTGATTGAATATTTTGTTCAGTTTCTTTAGCAGAGGTTTTACGACTGGAAATTTAGTACATTAACAAGTCTGCAAAACCAGAATAACTGCAGGAAGGCTGAAGGTAAAATGTGGTTTGCTCTGCTGCAAACTGCCTCACACTGCCCTTGACCCCATAGTAGCTGCAATGGAGAATGAGATTGCTGACGCTGTCTCATCTTAAAATAGTTTATGATTGCTGCATGGAGTTACAAACTCGGTTTAGGTGTTACTTGCTTGACTGACTCAGAAACAAAACAAAATAACCCAACCCGCTGGTTACGGCTGCTCACTATTTTCAGTTTATTGAAAAATCCATATTTTGGTTCCCTGCAGTTTAGTGGCTGTGCTGCTATAATAGTACCTTTTTTGCTTTGCCTTTATTGAATGAAGTTGTAAATGTTCACTCTCCTCCTCTTCCCCCTCCTTACTTTCCCACTGCATTGTTTTCTCGAACACGATATCAATATCAATCCTAGCATTTGATACAGTGGCATTATCACGTTAAGGCTTCTCAAACCATTTCATGAATGTGCTATTTCTATTAATAGGGCTAGCCCTGTATCCATTAGTTAGTGAAAAGAACTGGAACATACTCTCTCCCCCCCCCCCCCCCACCGCCCACTTGTGCACGAGGTACCAGCTGACCTTAATCCACTTGTTGCTGTGTAAATTCACATAAAATCATTTGATGTGAAATAATCTCATCAGGAAGCAAAGTTTACCTTGCTCTAAGCTGCAACATCAGGTGTGTGTTTTTTTTAGAAAGCCTGTCCCATCTACAAGTGTAGCTTTAGTTACGTGTAATATTCTCCCAGTGGAGCAGTGACAATCTCCCAGGCTAGCTGGAGAAAGCAGAGCGATTGTTGGGTACACAGGATACAGCGAGGAATGTGTTTGATCAATAATTGCACTTGTGCACCAGTGCCTTGGTTTGTCCCTTGAATACCTTCCTCCATTGGAGCAGGTATATTCGTATTGTTTCACCATTCTGCAAGAAATAAATCAATGTGGTCAGTTTTCATTTCCCTTCCGTTGTTACTTGGCGCAGATGTTTTCTAAGAAGAACTGCAGTTTAATAAGGTTTGTGTGAGTGAGTCTATGATAGAGAGAGACTGACATTTTCACGGCTTCTTTACTTAGATAGTTGTCAAATCCACTAAGAATTCTGGTATTCTGTATGATTTTTTTTTAATTCTTTCAAGTTGTTGCTAACCTACATTCTCTCCCACTTTGTTATTGAGAGTGAAACTACTATTTTTTCACTCTATTGCTAAGTTCCTTTCAAGTAACACTTTAGAGCTTTCAAAAAGCTTTTGTATCCTAATAGTTATCGAAGTTTAGACTCTTTCGAGCCGTTTAAAAGTTGTAATTGAGAAACGTGAAGAATTTCATAAGCTTTTATTAAAAAAAAGTAAAATGTTTCTATTCTAAGTGTTTAGCTGAACTTATGACTTCTGGGAGAAACGTTATTGTTATTTAATACTACCTCAGTTATTGACAGGGATCCAAACCCAGGGTTCCTTCATATTGCATTTCCTATGTCTTACTTGTGCAGCAGTTTTCTTTTGTTGTCATAGTTTTGTTGCATTTTTTTTGCTGTAAAAACAAATTCCTGAAGTGGTAAATGGCGTAATGATGAAAAGCAATGCTTAATTATGCCCAGCATACATCCTTGTGGACATAGCTTGTCTGTATTGTAATCTGTATGAAGTTTGTGTGGAATGAATTTCTTGAGAAAAAACCTGTCCTGCATGAGATATGAAACAGACAGTTCTTGAACGTGTTACTGATTCTAAGAAATCTATGGAGCTGATACAGGCATCCTTACTTTGTCATTATTGTTCATTATCAATGTTCGGCTTCTTTACTTTTTGTCTTGTGCGCCCTTTGGACACCAGAAATTCTATACCGATGCCATTCAGTTTGCGATTTATTCTCGAAGCCCAGTTGTGTGAGACTCCTAACATTCAGAACCAGGTATGATGATGTACTTCCCAAGCTTCCACTGGAATCCCATCCAACTGGATCAGTTCCACTGACATGTTCAGAAATGGTGCTCTTAACCGCCACATTACACACATCAATATTTTTTAAGGGTAGATGAGTTCACACATTAGGAATTGTGCGAGACAACTTCAACAACGTGATTTAAATATTTTAAGAAGGAATATCGTATCGTTGGGAATATAAGACGACCGCTATCTTCGCTTCCCCACCCTCCAATTGTTTTTTGTTCATGGGGGAAATGTTATGTGTAATACCGTAACAGTAATCCTTGCTTTTGATATAACCTCATTGAACCTATCAAAGTGCTTCACAGGATTCACTATAAAATGTAGTGACTGTATTTTGTAGGTGAACGCAGCAGCCAATTTGCACACAGCAATGTCTCACAAACAGCTATGAACTGAGTGACCGATTTTATTTGGGAGATTGTTGGCCTGGTGAGAGAAACTCTTCTTTTCAAATAGTGCCAGGGGATTTTTAACGGCCACCTGTAAAGGCATACCTAACCTTAGTTTAACGCCTTATTCAAAGGTTGGCACCTATGACAATGCTGCACATCCCCAACACTGCATTAGTCAATCTAGACTGTGAGCTCAAACTCCTAAAATGGGATTTTGAACTCACAACCTTCTGACTCAGACAAGCGTGCTAACAACTGAGCCAAGCTGACACAGTGATTATGGAGTAGCCAAAAAAACATGTTGGGTTTAATTTTAGAACAATATTACGCACATTAAAATGACCTTAACATTTTCCCCCCCCAAAATACTGGCAGTTTTAATTATTCTCCATGACTGTTATGACTGGAACCAGCCATTCTCTCTCTCTGATTTTTTTCCCTTCTCTAACGATTAACATCTATTCTGTGCTACTGACATTAAAATCTAAGTGTGCACATGTGTGAGAATTGAGAAATTGCAGGCCTGGGTGGTTACTTGGTCCACAATTGACCCTCATAGTGCTGAGAAATCATTCCCGATGTGTGAGTGCAGTTTCCCAAATCGTTTCCACATGAACACAACTGGATTGTTTTCTATATATTCTGTGAGACTTCTCAACGATGTGACAAGGCGTTACATCAAATGCCAGGATTATTATATCTCCCAGTTAGTCCCCAAACAAAGACAAATTGCAGTAGTTCACCTTACATTTGAAACAGTACAGTAACCTTAGAAGGTTTTTATGCCACTGAATTAGGAGATAACAACTGGGGCTTTTTTTTACATGAAGCAAACTTTATCTGTAGTCAATAAGGTCTAAAACACAGCATTAGTAAAAGGATTTGTAAATATTGAACCGTGCCAGTAACTGAATGTCGCATTGACTGCAGGAACTCAATTCAATACATCATCTTGAAGTGCACTGAGCAGAGTCTTGTGGGTCAACGTGAGGCATATCGAGTTACTGACGGAAAACAATATTTAGGACTCGCGCATTTTAGACCCTAATGTCTATTCAGCTCAATGGTGTGAAGTTTGAATGGCAAATGGATTATCAGGAAGAGTAGGTGTGTAGATATTCACACAAATGTCATTGTACTATTTCTGATCTTTATATGTGCAATAAAAAACCATTGAGTTATGTACATCTCGAGTCTCTGCTAGTTACTGTGGACTTAACCAAACCAAATTGATGGCAATGAGATGCAATACACTTAACAGCATCCAATGAAACAAATGTGTACCTTTGTAGATTGCATAGAATTACTTACACTGTTCAGCACCACACTGGCTGTTGGGAGACAAAAAGCCCAGGACAGTGTTTATATTTCACATGAGCCTCCAACCAACCCTCTCCTGTATATGCGTGTGCGTGTGTGTGTGTATATATATATATGTGTGTGTGTGTGTATGTATGTGTATATACAGTATATATATGTATGTGTATATATATCTGTGTATATATACATATACAATACGTGTACATATTCCCTTTCCCTCGTACATTCCTCTTGCAGTTCTTTTGAGTAGGGTTTTGAGCTCCTGGAATTTTAGGGTAACTTTATCCCTAGATTTCTCAAGATTTGTCTACTCTGATTTAACCACGGTGTTAACTACTGCCCACTGCCAGCAAAGCCCCCTATACTGAGATCCCAGAGGACACTTAACACAGTGTACGTTTGTGCAGCTCTTCTGATTTTCATACTCTTGGTGTGGATGCTGTGCACTCTGTTAGCATAGCTTAACAAGGAGATTCTGGGTACTGGGATTATGTTCCTTAGAGCAGAGGAGCAAAAGGAGTGATACGATTGAGGTGCTTTAAAATAATGACAGGGTGGGGCAGGTGACCGAAAGCACAGTTGAAAAGATGTGAAGGTGAGGAGTAAGGGGACAAGCTGGTGGTTCTCTAGCATGGCATTCCAGGCAGCGAGGGCAGAATGGCTGACAGCTCACCCGTCGATGTTGGGATGGATTGGGAGCAAGTCAAACAGGCTGGTGGTCACTGAGAAGAGGGAGCGGCCACAGCAGTACGATCGCAGGAGCCACTGAGGTAAGGTGGAGGGAGGCCGTGGAGGCATTTGATGAAGGTGTTGAATTTGATCCACTGGGGGACGGGGAGCCAGAATCCCAACATCAGGGGGCAGCCCTAACCAAGGTATGTGCCTGGCAAAGCTTCCTCTACTTCTGTGTAGACTCAGGGTGGTTAGTGCACATAACTGTGGCCGTGATAAAAAGTCATGCAGTTCTGTCATGAAGACGGCACCACCTTCAACACTGAAATGGTTTGAAACTGGATAGTTTTATTGGTGCAAACTAAAATCCCGACGTACGTGTTTTGTGTTCTGTACAAAGCAAAAATCTGAGCATCCAGTAAGAACTATTAACACTAGATGACACTGCTGACGCTGACTGATTCCCACTT